TTCGGAAATAAATTGTCGTTCTAGCAATAAAGGACTTGGCATCTCCCATATGAATTATACACAACAATTCTTTTATTTAATAGTAAAGCTCGAATTTTAAAATTTTGTATGAAGGACTTTAACATCCATGTAAACATTTTGGTGAAAATGTGGGAGGGGGATTTGGATCCTATTCATCATATTCATTAATTACATACAAAAAAATTTGCGTGCTAGCATTAGATGGCGGGGTATCTCCCATATGAATTAAATATAAAAATTCGTATATATGGGAAACTATTAGAATCTCAAAATTTTGTACAAAAAACTTCGACATTCATTTGAACATATGGAGAATAATAGTGGACTTTCAAAGGAGGCTTGCCACCTTCCACATGAATTAAATACAAAATTTCGTATATTTGAAAACTATTAGAATATGTATTAAAATTTTTCGCATGTTAAATAAAAATCCATTTTAACGTTTAGGAAAAATTGAGGAACTTGAAATAGTTGACTAGGCATCTCCCATATGAGATGTATCTATATGAAAACCATTAAAGGTAGAATCTTTAGAAATTTTAAAGTGGGGTTTTATTTATATTGTTTTTTGGGTAGCAGAGCACACTGGGTATAGCTAGTAGTCTATAACGTTTAAACATGTAAACATACAAACAAACACATATTCATTTTTATATATATACTAGTTATACCCAGTGTGCTTTGTTACCCTAAAAACAATATAAATAAAACCCCCACTTTGCAATATGTATAAATAAAAAACCCACTTAACGATTTTGAAGATTCTAACCACAATAGTTTTCCAGATTTACAATACGTTACATATGAGAGATGTCAAGCAAATTATTGAAAGTTCGCCTGTTTCTATCTATCGCCAATTTCTATCAATCTATGAAAAATTTGAAGAATATAAGAGTTTCCAAGATACACGAAATTTTGTAATTAATTCATATATGTGGTGCCAAGCCATCCATTGCAAAGTTCCCCATTGAAAGTCCGCCCGTTATTCTATAAATGTTCACATGAATGTCAAAGTTCTTCATGTAAAATTTTAAGATTGTAGCTATAATAATTTCTCAGATATACGAATTTTTCTATTTTATTCATATGGGGGCTCAAGCCAGATGAAAGTCCGTTTTTTTTTTCCTCCAAAATGTTCAGATGAAATTCCAAGTGGCTCCCCGCCCACTATAAACATACAAACAAACACACATTAATTTTTATATAGATATAGATATTATTATTATTATTATTATTATTATTATTATTATTATTATTATTATTATTATTATTATTATTATTATATTATTATTATTATTAATATATTATTATTATTATTATTATTATTATTATTATTATTATTATTATTAGTATTATTATTATTATTATTATTATTATTATAAATATTATTATTATATTATTATTATTATTATTATTATATTATTATTATTATTATTATTATTATTATTATTATTATTATTCTTATTATTATTATTCATTATTATTATTCTTATTATTACTTATTATTCTTCTTCTTATTATTATTCTTATTATTTATCTTCTTATTCTTATTCTTCTTCTTCTTATTATTTATTCTTCTTCTTCTTCTTATTCTTATTCTTTTCTTATTCTTCTTCTTCTTCTTCTTCTTCTTATTCTTATTCTTCTTTTCTTCTTCTTCTTCTTATCTTCTTCTTATTATTTTCTTCTTTTCTTTTTTTTTATTCTTATTATATTATATTATTATATTATTATTTATTATAGTATTCTTTTTTTAAATTATTATTATTTTTATCGATGTACGATCTTGGATATTAAGGGTCAGTTCTAAATCTTACATGTTAGCTTCAGCTTGTGTAGAATTATGCATATTCAGATCACAATAATTATGTGTTATTATTCCATAGATTAAGATTAAACATTAGAAGCAAATTTGTTAAGGCTTTATAGTAAAATTTGAAAAAATTATTACAATTTGTATCACCAATCTTAAATCTGCCAAAAAGTGACCTATGTTAGAGGGTCAAATTGTTGTTTACCTGGGGAAAAATTTAAAAATCTCATTTAAATTTTATCTACAATGTCACTAAATATATCATCATTTAAAAAATTGAAATATTGACCAATTAAGGGCATAATTTCGATAAAAAGTAATTTACTAGTATTACAAGACACATTTCAGCAAAATCAACCGAAGACAACTGTTTTAAATTTGTCACAAGTGACAAATGTCTATGCAATTTTACAAAATTATTTAACATTTTTCAATACTGTTTCAACTTATTTCAATGAGTTCGCTATCTGAAATTAAGCTAAGCACATATTAACTGCTTATGAATAACGTATTATTATGAAAATATTAGTACAATGGAGAAATAGTGCTCGAAACAATAAACGATACGCAAAAATATTCTTCAGCCAAAATGTTGGAAATTCAATTCTCTACAGAAATTGTAATAACATTAAAATGCGTACGACGCATATTAAGCAAGATATTCAGTAAAAACTAATTTTTGTAACCTTTGACCTCCAATATCTCGCTTAGCGCACAAGATATTTCGGCGATTTTTAATCCCTTACTAATTATGATAAGGGGAAGCTATATACCAATTTTCGTTTAGCTATATAAAATTCCCCAGATTGCATTTTTTTCCTAATTTTCCTGGGATATAATAAAGTTATTTCGTCAACTTATACCAAATTATGATACCACAAAATAATTTGGTGTATCACAATTGGTGCAAAATACCACAGCACTACCTTATAGCAATGGTGGCCAAACCTGCGGGCATTGTGTTATTCTCACTGTATTACTCTCACGCAATACAAATATTCTCAGCAACAAAACAAACTATACACAAAACAAAAACAATTTAATTTAGTTGCTCTCTTTATGAAATGATACACATTTATTTATAATTATATTTGTATTTTCATTTGTTCAAGCAATTAATCGCCTAAATTGTATCGATTAAACAATCGACTTTTAATCATTTGAATACCTAATAGATACATTTAACAATACATACACAAACAACGATATCTACATACATACATACATACATAGATACATACATACATACATACATACATACATACATAGATACATACATACATACATACATACATACATACATACATACATACATACATACATACATACATACATACATACATACATACATACATACATACATACATACATACATACATACATACATACATACACACATACATACATACATACATACATACATACATACATACATACATACATACATACATACATACATACATACATACATACATACATACATACATACATACATACATACATACATACATACATACATACATACATACATACATACATACATACATACATACATACATACATACATACATACATACATACATACATACATACATACATACATGCCTACATACAAATATACATACATTCCTTCCGTTATTCATTTATAATACTAATAATATGAATAACACAAATAAGTACAAACATATAATTTTTTCAGTGCAAAGCACACATATTTTCATTTATGTTCTCTTTTATATTTTACACTACAACATATGCGTTTTAAACATTCTCGCTTGTATTTATAAAAAAATCTTATTTTGCTTTTAATGCACTCAATAGTTAAAGCACACTTTAGCCTTAAAAACCATTAATAAAATTGTGATATTAGTTGTGTTTTGTTGCTAACGTTCAAAGGCAATTTCATATAAATTTAAAATTTATAAACGTTAGGAGTTAACGTGTAAAATTATACAAGTTAATTTTAACGTCGATAAAAGTGCTACCAATTCAAAAATAAAAATACAAATATTAATGTGTTTATGTCAAACAATAAAAAAATATTTTAAAATAAAATTTAAATCAAAAAAAATATCAAATAAAAAAACCTTTTTTAAGAAAATGTAAATAATTTCAAGATTTAGCAGATTTCTTCTGTGGAGTGATGCCAAGTCAGGTAATGTTCGTTTTGTTGCTAACTTTAAGCGTTAACACTCATTGATAGCAACAAAACACAACTATTCATAAACAAATAATAAACGTATATTAACTATTGTGCTGATTTATGTTTAAGTTGGCAGCACTGTACAATATGGCTGTCATTTTATGTGTTAGTGTTGCGTACAATTAGGATAAAATATTCGTTGATTCGGTTTTCTTAATTTCATATTTTTGTTTATAATAGATTTTTGACAATAAAAACAAACTTTTAAGAAAAATAAATACATATATGGCTTTAATAAATGTCTATTTAGTTCAGATGTATAAATATAACATATAATTTTTAATTATTATTAAAAGTATCCGAATAACGGATATTTATCTGAGAAAAAAATTGTTAAAAATCAACTTATTGTTGGCTTAAAGAAGGGTCGAGCCTACAATAAAATTCTTCTAATTGTCAATGGTTTATTGAAGGTGTTTTAAGCTATTTCACGTTTATAAATACGATTTTCTTGAATTTTGCCTAAAATTGTTTAATAAACCTAAAATAAGTTTTTATAAATACAGCCGTCTGTTTCTAGCCACCGTTGCCTTATAGTCAATACTGTCCTGATAATAAAAGGCTATTTTTTTAAATCAATTCGGTGAAAAAACCGAAAGCAACTTTTAAAATGATTTTGTTCATTATTTTTACTAAAATGTTTAAATAATTTTCATATAAACATATGTTTTTATCTATTATATACAATAGTATTGCGATTTGTTTGGGGTTTGAAGAACAATGTTCTCTTTAAGATAATGTAATACAAATGCAAAAATTTTGGCAAAAATATTTGTTTTTTCATTTAGAATATTTATACAAAACTTCATCGCCTTTTGCGCGGGAATTTTTTTCATGCCCTACAAGTGCGTGGTATTGTATTATTGATATTCAAGAACATTTTAAAAAGTTAATACCGTAATGTACCTACTATATATTATATAAGAATTTAATATCAAGCTAATTTCCAAAATTTTATTTCAGAAAAAAACTTTGTCTGATAAGGTAATAATTGCCCTGCCAGGATGCAATTTTCCTTTTCATTGGCCAAATTGTGAGCAGGAACCACTGTTATGTGTACGAGTAGTAGGTGAAGACTATTCTCATTGGTCCAGTGGTTTGCCGGTAAATGAAGCTAAAAGCCTTTACATAAATATTAGAAATGAATTAGGTGACATGATATTTTTACGATTGGAAGTTATACTGCATGGAGGAACATATCTTTTGCACTTTACGGATGCTAGTACGTTACCACCACCAATACGGATTGATAATTATTCGGAAGTTCCAATTTATTTTTATCAAAAAGGTATCGAATCACAATGGAGGACTACTGCAAAGCCACAGTCATCGCTGGCATATGTGTTAGATGATCCTATAGGACCACAATCTTTGTTATTTGAAGCTCCTGGGGGAAATTTTATTGAATACTCTATCAACAAAAGCGGTGCTACTAAAAGCATTACATATGCAAATTTCATATATATAGCTTTTAAGGAAACTTTTCGATTAGTTCCATCTGATTGTGATAACAAAAATGAAGGAATTGAAGGTCAACAGTTGGTTCTAGGCGTTAAAGACAAGCGGGTAATAATAACAAAGAAGTGCACGGGTGACCGCTCTCAACTATGGTTAATGAATTCTTTTGGCCAACTAGAACATGAAGGTTCATCGCCTCCGACAGAATTTTCAAAATCAACACATCAAACCCCTCGCTTAGTTTTAGATCTTGAAAAACCGCCAAATCCCACTGACTATACAAAGCTCGTTGTACGACCGCAAAATAATCAAAGAGTCACTACACAAACTTGGCGTTTCGAGAACGGTAGACTGATGTGCCACGCAAATATGTGTGTACAGGTGAGTTTTATTGTACAACAATTACACAGACCACCGATGAAAAAACTTTTTTAATTTATTTTTACTTTTCCTAGTATTATCCATAAAATGGCAATAAAAAGTAGATTTTAAAAGTTATTACAAATTCCTCAGATCATTTACTGTCGCAAAAAACTTAACACACAAGAAAATTACGCATCAGTATAAAATTTTAGTCAATTTTTTAGACAAACCGATTATTTAAAAAATTTAATGGTATATACATAGATATTTACGTAGAGAGTTAACATGTCCGATTAAGGTCCTGCAAAAAAGACCGGGCACTACTAGTATTCTAATAAAACCATGTCATTATATTTATACCCATCAAAAAAGATGGGGGTATATTTATTTTCCGTTTGTAATACATCGAAATATTGGTTATCGATCCACAAAAGTATATATGTATATTATGGGTCCTTAATAAATTCTAACACGATCTAGCCATGTCCGTCCATCTGTTGATAGAGTCCAAATGGAAAGAGCTAAGAAGCTGAAATTTTGCACAAATATTCTTTATTGCTGCAGTTTGTCTGTTATTGAAAATGGGCAATAGATATATTCACCTAGCCCCCATACAAGTGGCCCCCCGAAATTCAGTTTAATCAGACATAACTGTTTTAAAAGTACGAATATAGCAACGAAATTCGACATAAATTTTCATATGACCCAAAATTTATCTACCAAATTTTATGAGGATCGGTTTATAATTGACCCTATCCCCCATAGAAGGTCCCCTTCAGAAAATGACTATAACGCTAATTACTGGCATTAAAATGTGAGTACAGCTATGATATTCGATATAATCAGGTTTTATATGAACCAAAATCGGTCTACAAAATATTATGGGGATCGGTCCATAATTGAAACTACCTTCATATAAAAAGCCACCTTCAAAATGTTACGAGTATAGCGATGAAAATCGACATAAAAAAGTGTTATAGAAACATAAAAAAAAATTTTATAAGTATCGGTTCATAATTGAGCCTATACACATATTAAGTCCCTTCAGAAAATTACTTTTAAGCTTATGACTAAATTATAAATACGAGTACAGCAATGAAATTCGAATCAAATAAGTGTTATACGAATCGAAATCTTTCAACCAAATTTTACGAAAATCGGTCCATAATTATATTTTGATGATTTTTTCTTAATTCGATAGATCTTGGTCCATAATTGACTTAAACTGAGGCGAGCAGATTTTGGAAATGAAAATAGATGACATAAAAAAAGGAGTAAAACAATTTTTTGAGTTAATTTTTTTTTATATTTTACAGAAAAGATTAATACCCCATTTACACATACACGAAATCTATTAGATTTCATTTAAAATCTTTTCGCAAATCTATATCGTTTACACTTACTCTTCTTGACATTTAGGAAGATTTCATTATTTTAATATTTCTCGAAAAAGTGTGTGATATGAAAAATAAGAAGGAAAATGGGATATTTATTCACATTTTATTTATAATAAAAAACAGATATTTAAATATAACATTACCTTTTATTTTAGATTAACTTTTCATTCATGTTTTTCAATTTATAAAATTTTTTTTTACATTTTAATTTGTTTGGTTTGTTTTGTTTTTCTCTTTTTTCTTGTGTAGCGTCGTATTTTTAATGGATAAACAGAGTTGCATCACTAAAAACTATTAGATTTTGAGTAGATTTTAACGACTTCTAGTTACGAAGTAGATTTTGTTTTGTATGGGAAATCTAGTTTAAATCAACTAGATTTGGCTCGAAATCTCATAAGTACTAGATTTCGTGTATGTGTAAATCGGGTATAAGACCATTTTTATGCATTTGTTTTGTTAAAATATAAAGAAACCAAATTTAACAATTTTAAGAAAGAAATTTATTAAAGTTAGATGAATGATTTGTTTCCTTATTAAAATGAGAAAATTACATAAGTAACATATTTGAAAGGATTCTAGGCCACTTTTTAATGACAGACATTGCAACCAAAATATTCGAAGGTTTGATGGCAGTTTGGTTCGATGCAACCAGAGGAGGAATTTAAATGTTCGAAGGTTTGATCGCAGTTTGGTTTGATGTAATCAGTTAATACGTGTGATGTTTGTTTGTTTTCAATGAAGAAGGAAATATTTTTATGAAATTTGAGGATGTAAATATTTTTTTTATAAAATTGTGAACTTGCAGAAGGGAAGAAATTATTTTTTGATATTTTTTTATAAAATTGTGAACTTGCAGAAGGCAATAGTTGTTTTTGTTTTCAATGAAGAAGAAAATATTTTTATGAAATTTGAGTATGTAAATATTTTTTTTTATAAAATTGTGAACTTGCAGAGGGGAAGAAATTATTTTTTACTGAAAATTGAGAATTAATGTATTTATTTTTTTATATTTTATATGTAATAATGTTAAAAGTACATACAAAAAATTTTTTAGCAGGGAGACAGTTTTTTATTTTTTGCACTTTTAATTGTGACGAAATTTGAAACTGGATTTTGCACAAATATCGTTTTGGTAGTTTTTGATTAAAAAAACGTAACATCAATTTCCGTTGTATTTAACCTTGAATTTGTGTATATAATAATGTTAAAAAATTATTTGTATGTATAATTTAACAGGGAGACATTTATTTTTTGCACTTTTAATTGTGACGAAATTAGAAACTGATGACTTGCATAAATATAGTTTTGGTAGTTTTTGTTTATATAATTTATGTAGAATAATTATTGGTGTGTAAATAAAAAACGGAATATTAATTTCTGTTGTATTTAACCTTGAATTTGATTACGTGTACAGTTCCATGGAGTTAAGTGCTTGACCAAAATTAATTGCATATTCAAAATATTTGTAATTACCCTAAAACTCTTTTAAACAAAATTAATCAAGAAAAATTTGATTTATACAAAAACTAAAAAAATGTGGAGTAAGCAAAATTTATTAAATTTAACATACATGTATGTATGTATCCATTAGGGATGCCAATCCCGATCCCGAAAATCCCGGAATTTTTCGGGATTAGAAAATCCCGAATCCCGGGATTTGCAAAATAAATCCCGGAATTTTTTTGGGATTAGGATATCCCGAATCCCGGGATTTTTCAAAATGAATCCCGGGATTTATTACTAAAAAATTTTTTAAATTCTTTTTTGAGCCATAATTTCATTCAATTCGCTTCAAAATTACGATCTTTGTTTATTTTTGACTTATGCAGAACAAAATTCAGCACAGCTATTCTTGTACATTTTGAACCTTTTATTTTTTAAAGTGGTATGATACCAAATATAGTACATACAAATTTATTTTTTCATTTCGTCGTAGACCCAAAAAGTATACACATTCTTTGTCTATAGTAGACACAAATTTGGACCAAAATTAACACAAGAAATCCTTAAAGCACCTCCTCTGAAAACCAATTTGATGCCAATGTTAATATCAATACTTTACAATCAGCTATTTGATGAGATTCATTTTTAAAATAGAATCGATTTGAATCTACAAAAATTGTGTAATATTAAATTTCTGCGGCTTTTCATACAAATTATCATATTTTTTTTAAATTGATTCTCTTAAATGGAAAGTATTTTGTTGTCTGCGTAGTATTTTGCAATAATAAACCATTCCTCGTTTGAAATTAATCATACCTTTTCATTCCAAATTCACTACTTCTGAAGTCATTCTCAAGAAGTAATTTTTATGATCTTTTTTTGGAAGTTATTCGGAAGTGAAATTGTATTATTATAGAATACAACTAATTTGCCTTAAATAATTTTAACATTAATGAGGGTAATAGATACATATAATAAAACAGAAGCCCAAAAGTAAAATTTTTTATCTCCCAAGAATGTAAGAACAAAAAAATATCTTCAGCTTAGAAAAAATATAATTATTTTCCAATCTTCGGAAGTCTTTAAACATCACTTCCTCAGAAGGTTAAAAAATTCACTTAGTGCTACTTTTAAAGTGGTGATAAATGGTATTCTTTTGGAAGTACTTCGTTTTATTTTTGCTGGGATGCTTTCTACAAATCTGTGTGATAACAGTAAAGATAAATTAAATTGTTCTGGATGTAGATAACATGTTCCAAAGAAAAGGTTAATTTATGATCTAAACTGATATTCAAGGATTGAACGTTATATGTATTATAACCTACACCACTACAGTGGGGGGGGTTTTATACGTTTTTGCTGATGTTTGTAACGCATAAAAGTATTGGTCCTACACCCACTACATGTATGTAATAATGTTGAAAGTTTTCACAGGGAGACAATTTTTAATTTTTGCACTTTTAATAGTAATGAAATTAGAAACTTGACTATTTTTGGTTTATTTATATGAATAAATAACCTTGAGTAAGGCTGTTGACATTAATGAAGATATATTTTATGATGTTGAGTATGGTCATGATTTATTTTGAACACTCTAATAACAAATTAATGGGAGTATTCTTTTCTATTTACATTAAAGATTTTCTTCTCTAAAATACTTTTAAAATTAGTATATGGTTCAATATTTACATATGGAACCTAAACCAATTTGAAATATTAAATAAAAAATACTCTTGTTGTTAATTATTTTATTGCTACTGAGTCACTGATATTTCTATTTTACTCTGCAATCAATACTCTATATATGTACATATTTTTGTTATTATCTACTTTAGAAATCACAGATTTATTTCTCATTATTTAAATTTCCCCATTCTGTATCATTAACTAAAACAATATTTGTGAACCTCTAAAATTCCTGAATAAACGTATTTCCAGTATTTATTAAAAAAATAAAAATTTCAACAATAAATATTTTTATATTTTTATATTCTTATACATTTTTATACCCTACACCACTTTAGTGGGGAGGGTATATTGGATTTGTGCTGATGTTTGTAACATACAAAAATATTCGTCCTAGACCCACCTTAAAGTATACCAATCGGCTTAGAATCGTTTTCTGAGTCGATTAAGCTATGTCCGTCCGTCCGTCTGGCTGGCTGGCTGTCCATGTAA